CCTTTACTTGATAGTATAAACAAAAGTTGAATCAATATATATTTTTTTAATAAGGGTCATTAATCTCTCACCAAGTGTGTGGAGGAGAAGGGTGAGTTTTCTAGGGCGAAGCTTACTCTTCACTGCGAGTTTTACACAAATTAATTTCAAGGCCTAACCCTAGAACAAACATATATCAACAAGAAGATGCTTTTCTTGGACAGCATCCATTAATCTGGCCAAAGATCTCATACCAGCCAGCCAGGAACCTAAATTGCATGAATTTAGGAAGCATCAGTCAATTTAATTAGGAGGTAGATACCTAACCACTAACTTGTTAACTTAGCATCTTTGCTGGTTGAAGACACTGTTTGGGTCATACTAAACAATATTGGGGGATTTGGGGTGGCCTTTTGTTTTCCCTTTGTAAATGAACACTACAAGGCAGAAGGAGCACGCACTTACATGTATTTTCCAAGCTCTCAAAGTGTGATCTTTCACTGTTAACTAGGAAGGGTAGTGGCTGCTCCTGTGCTAACAGAAAACATTTTTAAGTTCTGGTCACACATGTCTTAAGTCAGTCATTTGTCATCAGTGTGACACTGTCACAGCTCTAGTGAAGGCATCATGCTCCAAGCAGTGCGCTCCTATCACTTGTGTATCTTGGTTGCACAGCCAAGCCAACCTGTGGGACCCATAGAGGAGAAAGGAGTGTCATGCAGACCTACCCCAAAAATACTGACACCGAGTTGTTTATTGTCCCTGTAACTTCTAGTGACTTGTACTAGTGCCAAGTTCAGCTCTGTGGGACCTCTTGATGGTGTAACCCCTTAAATCAGCACATACACTGCAGAACTCGATGGGAAAGATCAGACAAAAGGACACGTGGGAAGGCAATAGCTTAGAAAAGCTTTTGAAATTAGAGACTTGAAAGAGCATTGTCATTCAGAGCTATAGAAGCCTGTAGCATCTCAGACAGCCCCGTGCCTTTTGAAAGCATTCACAAGGGTGTCCTCTAATGGCTTTCTGCAGCTCTGCCCTTGTCCTCGCTCCTTCCCCACTCAGCTGGCCCAGAACAAACCCCTGTGATGCCTCTGCTCTTGCACAGGCGATGAAAAAGGCTGTTCCAGCACTACAGTCTAAGGCAAAGTGAGACATTAGCATTCAGGCACACTGAAAATGCCAAACCCAATCCAAGATGCTGAAACTGGATGGCAACTCACTCATCTGCTTAGAAACCTGATTTTCACAGGATAAATTTGATTACTTCTTGGGTTTTGAACATTTCAGTAGGTAGGAACCAACAATAGAAAAATGTATCTGAATCCCCTCACAGCCTGTTTGGAAATGGGTGAGATAACAGCATAGAGCTCTGGGGTTTTATAACTTCATGTCACTCTCATCTCTTCAGCCATCACAAGTCCTGTCAAGTGAAATTCTGAACCATTATATCAGGTTCTCTATGGTTCATTAAGAAAGAACAAAGGGTACATTCTTTCCAAGGTTATAGTACTGACAGGGGAAAGAAAAATAGTATCTTAGACCAGTTGAGAAGTATTTAGAAAAGTATTTGGAAAAGTTCTAACAGCAGGACCTTTATTAAAATCAGTAAAGGCTGTAAGTCATAGGGATGCAGGCAGGAAAAAAGGCTCTGCTCCTGACTTCAGTTCTTAAAGAAAACAAAAGTTAGCTCCCAGAAGGAAACTTAAGTATTTCTGAAAAGCCTGATGGCAATCTTTGCAAAGAGTACTTGATATCAAAGTCACTTCACTTTTTTTTCTCTGCAAGGTGCTGATTTGATTTCCCATTAGACACCTAAGGGAAAAAAACAACCTACAACTTCGTCCCCACTTAATCCCTCTTTTCAGTAGCAGAACACACATGGGACCAGGCTGGGCTGCTTCCCCTAGTGACACACTGCAGCCTCTCATTGAGCATGAGCAAGGCTGCACATCCCTCAGTTTCAGCCAGAAACCTTTAACAGGGAGACACGTTTGTCCTTGGTGAAACCCATTAGGAAAAGCTCCATAGGGCAAGTACACAGTGGAATCAGTTCAATTCTCCCTGCTGTTGAATGAGAATCACCTGGTGTGGGCTTAGCTTTGGAAAGCCTCAGAAATAGATCCAGACTCTTTATTCCATGTTTCTGCTGAGGTTAAAACATACATTGTTGACTCAAAGTGTCTTAACACATCTAACACTGAACAAACAGGGAATCAACCAACTCAACATTGGAAAACACATGAGCTAGTTTCAAAGAAAAGGTTCTTTTAGTTATATTGACTCTCGGGCTGTTAATTGAGGCAAGAGAGAAAACAGAACCACATCCTGCAACTGTCCTTTAGGCACAAAACAGTGGGTTTGAGTAAAACCCATTAAATTGACACAAAGATATCATTCACATCAGTGTCTAAAGTCATTGAAGCTAATAACTAAAATGATTCATTGGCTTATTTACAACAATAAAAGAAATGTTAGTGTGTCCTATGCTATTAATAGGCTGAAAACGAATAACCTAATTTTAGGTTGATTTGGGGTGAGGTATTTGCTGAGGTTTTTAGCACCTAGCAGTATTTCTTCTCGGGACATCATGGTCTATAACATACTGTGGAAAAATTGTAAAAGAATGGATTCTGCCTACTGCAAGAGATCCAAGGATGAGTTTCAAAATACCACAGCATGTAAAACTGGGAGTACATTGGAGTGACAGAGGATTTGAGCTCGCATCCCCCAACTCTTGCTCATACTTTTCACAAACAGTTCCCAATGTTCAGTCAGGAAAGTCCAGAGTCTCTTTCAAAGTTATTTATAGAGCTTAAGGGCGAAGTGATCAATGTAGATTTTGCATGTCCTTCTGGGCTCAGACTGTAATAATACCTGAATTAAAACCAGGTATTTAATAACTCATATGATGGGGCTGCAACTGCATCTGCAGGTAGCAGATATGCACCTAATTATGGGGCATGTTTGGGGAAGTTGTTTAGGTTTAGTTATCCCAAGAGTGAAGTTTCTGTCTTGCTCATAACATGTGTTTTGCAGACTACTCACTGTTCAGCAAAACCTGATCCACCCTGCGCTGTCTTGCATAAATCTACATTCACCTCCTCCCCAAACAGTGATCTAACTTCCCATCATCAACTATTGCCTTTGAGACTGATTACTGATAGAATACGAAGAAACTTTATTAATTTTCTGGCAATTTTTCCCATCAGAAACACTGGTTCAATTAATTTAAACCATTTCAGGAACATGGTAATGGTAGTAACTGAAAAAAATAACAAAGTAATTTCATTTAAATATTGCAAGTCTCCTACCAATGTTACATCTTCAAACAAGTCTGGGTATAATTCTTGTGACTTCAGCAGCTCAACTGGTAAAATGACAGCCCTTCTCTCAGTGCTCCAAGGGCTGGACCTGCTCTGCCCTGGAGCCAGGCTGGGAAAGCTGGGGGTGTTCATCTGGAGAAGAGAAGCCCCAAGGAAGAAGGAGCTCCTAGAGAGCTGGAGAGGGACTTGGGACAAGGCCTGGAGTGACAGGACAAGGGGGAATGGATTCCCACTGACAGAGAGCAGGGTTAGATGGGATATTGGGAAGGAATTCTTCCCTGTCCTGAGGGGCTGCAGCTGCCCCATCCCTGGAAGTATTCACCTCCAGGTTGGACAGGGCTTGGAGCAACCTGGGCTGGTGGAAGGTGTCCCTGCCCATGTCAGAGGGGGTGGAACTAGATGGTCTTTAATTTCACTTCCAAGCTATTCTATAATTCTATGAAACAATTCTGTCAATAGCTTTTCTTTTCACTCTCCCAATCTAGGAAGAGGATGAAGGCTGGAAAATGGCTCCGAGTAATTTCCTTTCAATACTGGAGGAAGGAAGCAAGCAATACAAAGGTCAGTGGGAAAAGATAACAATTACAGCTGGAATGTTCTCCCAGTTCATCTTAATCTGAATGTCATTGCTCTGAGGTCACGTGGGCAGCTGCTCAAACCACAGATCAGTATAAAAATGAGGATATTAGATGTAAAAATGGTCTTTCGGAAGGGAATATTTCAGTACCTCAGGTCTTCTTAGGAATCAGCCAAAATCATTGAGCTAATCATTACAGGAAGGTGTTTCTGTGGGGGGGAAGTGAACAAGCTAGAAGCAAAGTGCTTCAGTAAATATGTAAAGGCATTTTTGGTTTTTCTGAGGGCAACAAAAATGACATCTAAATAGCTAATTATTCAAAAGTACAGTCGTGTAGATAAGGCTTAACATTAATATTTTCATGCTCTTGTAACTCCTAATCTGTCGTATTCTGGGTTGAAACTGAAGGAGGGAAAGTCTAGGTTGGATGTGGTGAGACACTGGAACAGATTGACCAGGGAGGCTGTGGCTGCCTTGACCCTAGCAGTGTTCAAGGCCAGGCTGAATGAGGCCTTGAGCAACCTGATCTAGTGAGGAGGTGTCCCTGCCCATGGCAGGGGTTTGGGACTAGATGATCTGTAAGGTCCATTCCTACCCCTAAAATTCTATGATTCTCTCAGTCATGGAAAGAGTCCATGGATTCATTCAGCTACCCCATCTACAGTTAGGCAAGTCGTTTTCTTATTACATGTTTTAACAGGAAGAAGGTCCTGTCAAGCAGAGGCATGAAAAGTGCTGCTGCACTAGAAATATACTTGCTTTGTGCAAAGTATGTGGAACTTAACCATAACCCAGCCTGATAGCTGGGGCCTGTCTGGTTTTTCATATTGAGAAAGAACCTGAGAGTAGGGATTTCTCAACAAAAATTTAAGAAAAAGTTCATGAAAGGGCACTTTACTCT